AAAATAAACACTTACAAAAAGCGAAAACTTCTGAAGTTTAAAAGTTGCTAAATCCAACAGGAATATTAAATCATATGACATCATCCACATACTATCGCTTCTAAAACCGCCAAATTCCACATTTTTTTCATTGAAAACATAAAATCCCTTGCGAGCAAATTCATTCTTATTTGTAAGTTCATAAATCAAAACTGTTGGATTTATTGTAGTGTTAATATTGCTCTTAAATGTTACTATATTCCCGTTTTCAAGAAAATTTGTATGACTGTAATCAAAACATTCATTTTTAATTTCAAGATCTTTATTATTTTTCAAATCATGGAATTTTACTAAACATGAAACGTATAATAAATTAGCGTTAAACTTATTTGTCAATTTAGAAGTAATAAATTAAATTTTAAATCTTACCTAAACCAGTATAATTATATAAAATGATCTTCTTATCGGAGACCTTGAAATCACTAATACCGTCAAATTTAGATGACTCGGTATCTTTACGAAGATCGAAAGGTTCTGATTTGGTATCAAGAAGCCATCCGACAAAGAAATTATCTTCTTGACTATACGTTAAAACATACGTCGATCGAGGTGATATTGCCACATCAGATATTGATTTTCCATTGTGTGGCGAAGTTGAAATAAAACTGATCACGTGATCACGAGACATATCGGTTTATCTTAAATTGTCGTTAATTACGTAGAACAATGAAAATGACTAATAAATCATTAGAGTGAAAGAAAGGATAAAGTTTATTTTTGATCCCTTTTATAAACAATGTACTGATCAACATTCATAACTCCTTTTAACTTCCAAAACGATTTTGATTCTTGTCGATCAGTCGGATTTAATGACTCGTGAATTTTATAATGTTATGCATGATCTACAAAATAACTTAAACGTGGCAAATTTTACATGTATCATTTTCATTACATTTTGGTGAATTAATAATTAATAGTTTGTACAAAGTGAAATTCGATATAACGGAACCTTGATAAACCGGAACTAGCCAAACAACGTAAATTTTTCTTGAAATCAGTTGTATCAAAATAAATTTGATCGGATCAAAGTTCCAAATCAGATATGCCGAATAAAATTAATTACACGTGATTATGATAATCTTTACTTTTTTGAGCTTTTTAATATAAAATTAATGTGGTCTGGTGATTTGTCGATTAAAGCAATCGAAAACACCGAGAACATTTATTTATTAAAAATACTGCTTACTTTATACTGCCAAAACACGAAAAATAATGTTACATAATTATTTTTAAAAAGACGCTAATACAAAGAAGTGCTAATAAAGAAGCACTTCCCTTTCCAAGTTCTCCGTCTAAAAACCAAAGATCTAAATAGCTAGAAACGAAAAAAAGGAAAAGAACTAATAAAAAAATAAAAAAGTTACAATGGTGGTTAAGATCATTATAAATCTCTAGATCTTGGGAATCGGAATCAGTTTTAGGAATCGGTTTATACAGTGCGCGAAAAAAGTTTTCGGAATCACTTTTAATTTATTGTACTGTGAAGAGAAATTGAAATTGCATAAAAATTAAAATATAAATTCATTATTATTATAGAAAAAAAGTTGCTTAAACTTAATTAATAGCTTATCTTATTGCGATTACCCTCAATTACTTGTTCTGAAATACAACGAATTAAATTAATAAATATTTCGGGTTCAATTCTTTTAAGAAAAACATCTATAGTGATTATTTTTTTTTTACCAACAATATATTAACCTGTTTCTCTACACGCCTCTTCAAAATTTCCTATAAATTTTCAATTGGCTTGAGGTCCCAATAGAGATTGGAATCGATTTCGTCAATTTTAAGAATCGATTTAATCGCGATTATCGTTTCACAAGAATCGATTCAAAGATTCGATTTTCGATTAATCGAATTAAAATCGATATTTACACATTAAATTTTAAGGCGTAACTAAATCTGAAGACCGACCTGTAATAAATAAATAAAATGAACATCAGTTTCAAAATGATTGATACATATCCGATTTATTGAAATATCATAAACATTTTAGTTAATATTTTCAACAACAAATCGGCAATATATCATACCAATTTGGTAATTCCAATATTTACTAACTCGAATAGTCACATGATTAATACCAATCTGCGTCAAGACGAGAACTATATAATTTTAATTATAATAATTTATCGCGAAAATCATTTTGTTTAATAACACTATACAATTTATACAATTTTATGGTTT